AACTTACTAGCTACACAGTAGCATCCCACGTCACAGCCAGCTGGAGCCCCGTGATAGGATGAAGAAAAAAAGCCAGCGCTGGCATGGACGCGCTTTGTAAACACATGCTGGTGCCAATTTGCTGGCCGGAGCAGCAAGGCGGCTATAAAAGCCCTGTGCTCTGAGCCAACAGGGGGACTGGAAAGAAGTCCCTAGCAGCCGAGGGCAGGCTGCAGACACACGGCAGAGAGCCAGAGGTAGAAGGTTGGTGGCAACCCCCGTGGGGGGAAGCTGCCCCAACATGCTGGCTCGGCTGAGTCAGTGGTCATATCTGAAGAGACCTGGAAGCCTTACTGGGAGGACCAAGAGAACGATGAGACACCAACAAGACTGAACGAGAGCAATGACTGGTAACAACACTGCTATCATGCAACACCACAGAAACAATGGGCTGGCGCTAGGTGGGGTGTAGATGAGGTGGAGCCCCAAGATCTTCGGGCCTGCAGGCAACCTTAGTGATATACCACTGAACAGGGAGCAACAGCAACTGCAAGATTAGATCAAAGACATGGCAGGAAAGAAGCTTTGGTGGTCACGGTAACTGGTGCCAGGGGCAAACTGTCGGCCCACAAGACCACGGATGGCTCAGGGAGACTAGAAAAGGCTAAGCGGGGAGCCGCGGACAGGCACAGCAAGTTACACCTTACTTCTCAATTTGTTTGCTGCTTTCAACTGGTTGCAATGCAGCTACATTCTGAATCTCACCGAGTGCAGGTTATAAGCAAGTCATCTTTATTCTCTGCTTCTATTTTAGACACTCTCGTGATGGACAATCTAAGTATCACGCAACTGCTCAGTTACAACTGGGCCCATAAAATGTCATCTACTCTCCAGCTCTCTTAGTTTGAAATAATAATTCAAAACTAGTAATATTAAGAACTTAGACCACATGCCAGGCCCTACAGATAATTCAGCCCTCATCCTAAAAAATTACAATCTAGGTTAACAGTCACTGGACTCTTCCATCTGCCTGAAACCCTGCTGACTTCAGTAGACCTCTGCCTCGTTCATCCAAGTTAATTCTACTGCAAGACTTATGGCTAGCTGCATAAGTGCTTGTAACAAAAAAAAACATGAATACAGGAAGGATGAGGGGAACAAGGTAAAATAATGTGGTTACATTAGCTAGCTACTGTGCGGTTTGATCTTAACTTCTACCTACCTCCAGTTCTTGAATGCTTGCAGCTCTGCCCGTTTCCATAATTTTTGTAAAACCTCCAATCTATTTTCGTTTTCTTTTAGAAATGCTTCCTCTTTCCTCCTTTTAAAAAAGAATCTCAGTACTATCCCTACCATTTTAAACCACTACTGCTTTCCTTTTTAAATTACAACAATTATGCAGAAAATGAAATATTCCTTGGCTAGCCCCAACTTGTCCTTCCCTTGGCCCAATTACTGCCACTTCTCCGCAAGCAGTTGAAGCCCCTATGACAAAACAAGATAGTTACAAATTACAATCCGTCCTCCTAAGGCCCCAAAGGAATGATCCATACTGCTGCCTATAGAAAGGCTCTATGAGCCTTCCACAAGCTGCTCCCTAAGAAGGAAAGTTATCAGGTCAACAGCAAAGGAAAAGTGGTGTGTGCTCTGCCCCCCAGGTCCAGCACAGTTAATTTCTGGGAAACTGGAAGTAAGCAGTGAGCCTCTCCAACCAGGAGCCACTACCTAAGATGGATTTAAAAAATAAATAGATAAAAAAAATCAACAACAGATTTTTTAAATTTAAATTGGATTTTTATATTTTTATTCCCATTATAATTAAGTTTTCCTTTTTAAGAATAAACCATCTTAAAATTAATTCTGAATTTAATACAGCATAGGATAAGTTATAAATTTAGGTTTCTGGCTAGATGGTCTTGCCCCTCCACTCAGGATCAGACTGATTTGGGGCCAGGAAGAAATTTTAACCCATGGTCAGATTGGGGGTTTTGCCTTCCTCTGTAAGAGGCATGGCCCTCTACCTGGGATCTCTTGAGTGTATAGTGACATTTCATAGAAGCAGGACATTGAATGCTATGGTTCCCCTGCTTTACCTGTGGCAAGTTAGGGTGTTATGTCTTGTGTTGTGTCAGGGTTGGCAGTAGTCTTACTAAGAGGTCAAATTATTGATTGTATACAATGGTTTGGATAGGGATAATCCTGCCTCAGGCAGGGGGCTGAGGGGGTCCCTTCCAGCTCTACTTCTCTATGATTCTATGACAATTTAAAAAATAATCTCAGTAAAAATATGTTGTCGATGAGCCTCTACTTAAAACTCTGGAGCTCAAGACTGATTCTCTTCTGGATAAAAATGAGGTGGAAAACCTCTAACTTTTGACATCAAGCTTTAAACATATGGCATGATATTTCATATATTAGGGGCTTGATCCTACAAGGGATTCAGGGTCTATACTACTGGATGCAAAGGATCAGCAAAGTCATCTCAGCTGTTGGAACCTGGCCTCTGACTTCACCAGACCCCATCATGTGTAGTACTTGATCAGGATGATCCACTGAGCCCACCTGAATAGCATCAAACTCTGCTTTGTTGTACCTGAGTTCCAATTAGCTCAGCACTCAAATTATGAATATTTCTGATTCTGAACCCATAACGGAGGCTTATTCTCCAGCTCATGGAAAACCAACCATCTGCTCAGCAACTAACAACCTCCTGCTTCTGAATGGTTCTGGGTTCTTCAGTGAAATGTTCCATCTTGGTCCTTTGCATATGTACTATGTTAAGTTTATCTTCTCAAGTGCCTATCCATATCTCTATACTAAAATACTAGAGCAGGGGGTTACAATAATAGAAATAAGGGGGAGGGTTTGGGGGGGGAAGGGGAGAAGGGGAAGTGGAAAAGGGTATGATGGGTTATGTCACAGGGAGAAGGAGGCTTGGTTTGTTGTTAATTTCTGTTCAATGGGGAGAGAAGAAGCGGAGTAAGGAGCAGTGTGTGCAAGAAAAGGACCAAGGCTGGGCTCAAGACAGTGTAGGAAAAGGAACAACAATCTATGAAGCATAAACTAGTTTTGATTTCAATACCTGGAAACTGGAGGAAAAAATCTACCATGGCTGCAGGTTGCAAAAAAGACCCTATTTGGGAATACTTTCAAGAAATTCCGGTACCACTGGGAAAAAGAAACGTGTGACAAATGTAAACAGTGCAACGAAGAGTGCAAGGTTAATACTACTGTTTAATAAGTTAGTTAGTTGAAAATAGACATCATGTTTTGATTTTAAAAAGGTTTCTGTATCCAAGACATTAAAGTTTTGTTTAATACAGTTGGAGTGCTGGTTTGTGCCATCTTACTGAAGCTGGATATGAATATGAGCAAAAAGTTAATAACCTAGTGAAAAAGACTATTTATTTCACCACTTTATAGCATACTAAAAGACAGTATTTCTAACAGTCCAAATATCTTAATATTAATTGTATAAGATATTTGTATTATGAAGTTTTACGTTACACTTAGACCATATTAAATATGTGGAACGTTAAATTATGTTATAGTTAAGTTGCTCGTGACCCCCCTGGGGGGTCGCAACCCACAGTCTGAGAACCCCTCCTGTAACCAATTGTGCATTAATGGTTAATGCCATGGGTTTGTCTGCACAGCTCTGACTCCAGGCTGGAAGGCTGGAGAGCAGGGGCATGGCTATGAATCAGGATACCTGGACTCTATCCCTGCTCTGGATGAGAGGGGGAGCTTGGAGTGGTGCATCTAGGGATGCTGGAGGACTTAAAATTGCTCATTTTATCTCCATGGAGTAGACTGAAGCTTCCTGGACACGAGCTATGCAGCACAGCTCAGATTTAACCATCACCTGACACGGCATAACTTTGAAATGCTCAGAAAGCGCTTAGCATGAGTTAACAAGTTTTAGCTTTCAGATGCTTACTTTTTAAGCACCCTTAGTATGGTCCAAGTGTAATGTGCAGTTTCATCCCGAATTTCAACTGCACTTAATAAGTAATAGCTGAGCATGTGACAATACCCTTTCCTCTTCCAAAAGATTGCTCCTCTGGTCTTATCTAACACCCTTCATTTAAGATAAAAGCAGCAGCAGCACAGGATCAGAGAAGTGCAAGTATCTTTATAACCAGGGAGCAATTTAGCATAAATCAGCCTGAACCTAAAAGTCTTGGTCTTAAAAAGTGAAGGGAAAATTCCAGGTGGACAGAAGGCCAGTCTGGAGGTGACAATCCGTCACCTTCAACAAAGTCCAAACAGTTTCACCAGACCTATAGGTAATGAACTGGCCCAGGTAGACTAGAGAAACAAGGGCTGAATCACGGGTCCCCTCCCTCTTGAAAGTCCTGGTCCTCAATGCCTGAATCTGCCAGCTCCAGGAGACAGACAGTTTCCACAGCAGCCAACTCCCAAACAGGAGTTCCTGTTCCGGTTCAACCGGTTCTCCCTCCCCTTACTGGGATGTCATCTATCAACAGCTTTTGAACAGAACAGTTGGAGAGGTTTCCTCCAGCATCCCTAGACCAAGAATGATGAAAGCTGGGGAGAATAATGGGTAAGTGATAGATTTCTGCTGAACAGTGCTTCTTAACCTTTTCAGATCCTTGGAAAACATCAACTCCTGGCTTTCCATTGGTTTTTTATGACAGAAAGAAGCCAGAACAATGCTTCTGTTATAAACTCTGAAAACCCACAATAGCTCAAAACATTTTTAATGCTACAAATTCCTATTTGGGTCCATCTGTGTTGGCACACCTAAGAGCACTGACACTGCCAGGCACCCCGCGGCACCCTCAAAAGGCTCCCAAAGCACTGCAGGGTGCCCTGACACCCTGGTTGACACTCACCACTCTAGGTGGCCCCACTTCAGTGACCCTCCCTTCCAGCACCTGCCACTGCCAAGGTCACAGGTGGGATACCAGGCACATGGCTGGACCGCTGGTTCCACCGAGCACTTCTGGCTCTTGTCATCTTCCACAATCTTAAAAACACCGTCCCCAGCCTCTTACCAGGAGCTGGAGGGGGCATTGCTGCTCTGCCATCTCTTGCACTTGCACACCTGCAGAGGCAGGACATGGAGGGAACCCCAGGGGACACCCCCCCTTGCTCAGAGCAGAGGCCCAGCGGTGCTGCAGCACTTGGCTAGGAGACACGCCAGTAAAGGGAGCGATCCGCGCCGCTCAGCGGCGCCGCAAGGGTTAACACCGGGGCTGGGGGCAGGTCCATAAGCCAGGTGCCTCCGACCTCCTCCGCCAATCAGCGCATTCCCCCCTGCCGGCAGGACCCGCAATGGTTTGGTCCAAACCGGCGGCCACGCCCCGGGCCGCCT